AACTGATGTATTTACTATTATGTTAGTATAAAATGGCTTTAAAAACAACATAAAATTTAAAATGTTGATACCACACTCTTATCTCAGCAGAAGTCAAACAAAACAACCCTAAAATAACCTCCTTACTTCCTTAAATAACAAAAATATTCAAATATCAAAGAAAGCAATCACATTTTATTTTGAGATTAGATATGTAGACTGTCATCCATACACTGTAAAGAACCTGCTGCCATGCCGAGCTGTGAAGCCATAACAGGATGGCTTCTACAGTCCAGCTTGAATCCATCTATTCTTCACTATTTGTGTGGAAGTGTTTCACACTCCCCAGTAGATTTGCCCACACAGTCATGGCAGTGCTGGACAGTAAGGTTAATGACATGGAAGAGTAGAAGAGAGGCTGGGTGCTCCCTGTGGAAAATTAATTCCCAAGGGAACAGGAAGGTAGCACATAGCAAGTTCTTCTCGACCCACCAGTCAGGCAAATCATTTACTTCTGCTCCTGTGAAGTATGTCAGGAGCTGAGAGAGGCCAGGAGCCATCTGACAGTGGGACACTCTTCACAGGGAAATAAGCATCCGGAATGTGGATGAACATAAGCATGGTGTGCAAGGCTGGAAGACACAAAGGTGGGCAGGGTGTGGACCTCATTTTCCAAGAGATTACAGTCTAATGGAGGACACTGATAGACAAATAGATCATTAAGTTATAGTAAGAACTGCCAAGACATCAGGCTAAATACGTTTATTATTTAATCTCAAAAGTCTCATGAGGTCAAATAACTTGCTTAGAGTAATAAATGTTAACTCAAATCCTCTCTGTGCAACTCAAAACCTTCTTTTGTAATCTTCTCAGTTTGCTTTTTCTTCATCTCCACACCTCAGTAGATCTTCCTTCCTACACACCACCATAATGTCTACCCTTCCATACCCATCTAGTGCTTATTTATTCTCTCGCAGTATCATTCAGTCTTTCTTCATATGCAGTCCTACTTGGTGGAGTTAAAGGACGTGACTTGATCCTTTTTGGCGACACGGTCTCACTGTGTAGTTTAGGTTGCTGTGAATCCACTACGTAGCCCAGGCTGGCTTCATCTCAGCAATCTTCCTTCTGCAGCCTCGGGAGTGCTGGGGTGACAGGCACATACCATCTTTTCCAATTTGTTTGCACTTATGGAGAAAGTTTAGATCCGTTCCAGTTTGTGTTCATTTAAGAAGTTAAAGACACTCCTGGTGATTAAGTTGGTTTTCTTTTCTTTTCTTTCTTTCTTTTTTTTTTTTGTGGTACTGGGCATTGAACTCAGGACCCTGTGCTTGCCAGGCAAGTGCTTATTCTACTGAGCTATTTCCCCAGCCCTAAGTTTTTCTAAGCAAATCAACATATTCAACTTCGCTCTCTTTATGAAATGGATATGCCTAGAAATAACAGTAAGGGGCTTAAGAGGAAAACCCGTAGCCTCAAGTAGCTTTTTACTGTTACACATTGTCACTAATTCTTATGCAGACTTTCTTTTGTGCTATTTCCAGAATACAATGGTAGTAGCTTGCACTTGGTCTCTGTGTGGGAGGGAACACAGGTCACAATTCAGTCAGGCTTGGGTCTGAGTCCAAGAGCTGACTTTTCTTAACTATATATTTAACCACATATGTTGACTCCTTGGTTTCCTGACCTATCAAATTGGGCCAACAGTTCCCATAAACTTATGAAAGGTAAATGAAGACAGGTATATAATAAAGCATAGTAATGAGCCCTCAGGAAGCTGATATTTTATTTTATTTATTTTTGCAGAAACGGGGATTGAACTCAGGCCTTTGTGCTTGCCACGGAAGCACTTATTCCACTGAGCCATCTCCCTGGCCCCATGATATTTTATTATATGAACAAACAAGATCCAAGCTCTCAGGCTGCAATCCCACCTAACTGTGGTGGCAAGCGACGACCTCTAACCTCATTCTTAACACAGCCTGCTTTGGAAGTCAGTCATTCTTAAAAAGCACACATGATTGCATTTTGGTGGTTCCTTGGTAGTCCTTCAACCTCCTTTATTACTTTTTGTTTTTAGTTCTTTTACATTTCCCTATTATTAACGCTTATTCATTTTTACAAAATACTGAGTTTCCATGCATATATTTTGATCCTGTTTCTTCCATTATCCTCCCTTACAGCCCTTCTCCCCCTATCTCTTTTCTCTTGTCTAATAATACTTCTTCTAGTTTTTAGATTCAACATATTAGGGAAGACACGTGGTATCTGTCCTTTCGAGTTTGGCTTGTTTCACTCCACATAATGGTCTCCAGATCCACCCAGTTTTCCTACAAATGACAAAAATTTGTTCTTCTTTGCATTTGAATAATACTCTCTTTAATATATATACACCACATTTTCTTTGTTCACCTGTTGATGGGCATCTAGGCTGACTCTGTATCCTATCTATAAACCGTGACATGATCCTGGTATGGTGGTACCCTTGAAGTAGGATGACTTTAATTCCTCCAAGTATATACCAAAGAGCAGTATAGCTAGATTGTATGGCAGGCCTACCTTTGGTGTTTTGGAGGAATCTCCATACTGATTTGCACAGCAGACTCAACTAACTTGCATGCTGGCCACAGTGTAGAAGGATTGCTTCTACCCCTTCCACTTGGATCCTCATCATTTATTTATTGCTTTTAGTATTCTTGATGGTAGCCATTCTGACTAAGGTGAGATGGAATCTTGGTGCAATTTTGATTTCTCTGATGGTTAGTGATCTTTTTTTTTGGTTAGTGATCTTGAGCAGTTTTCATATACCAATTGGTTATTTATACTTCTTCTGAGCAGTGTCAATATATTCAGTCCAGTTGCCAACTGAACTGGACTATTTGAGTTTTTCTTTTAGTGTTAGGTTTTCTGAATTCTTTATATATTCTAGATGTTAATCTTCTGTTGGAACAGTAGTGGGGAAAGATTTTCTCCCATTCTGTAGGCAGTTCTTTTCTCCTGTAGCTGTTGCTGTACACATAATCCAATACTACTGGAACTCCTCTGGCATCCCTTCTGCCTAGATCCTTTAGAGAGAACTGCTGTAAAGTTCCCAAACTTTTTAAAATAAAGATAAATTTTAATGATAATTTTCTTGAAGTTTCTTTCTTCAGCCAGACTGTTAGCCTAATTGAGGCCCAGGTGTAATGGAGCAGACAGAGCCTGGCTTTATAGTCAGGAAGGCCCAGGTGACAGTCACGAAGTTGTGGGTGACAGGAAGACAGTAATTGGGCAAGTCACTTCATCTCTCTTAGCCTCAATTTTCTCAGCTATAAAGTGGATGAAACTCCATACTTGCTCACCATTGAGGAACTATGAAAATTATTAAAAAATTATGTAGTGTTATGGTTTGTATCTGTCATCTCCCCAAAGCCTCACACGGTCATAAGTAGGGTGTTTTGGAGGTGGCTGGATCTAGGCTGTGGGATTGACTCATGGTGAGATGCTGGGATTATGGCTGCCCCTCCTTGGGTGTGAATAAGGGTGGGAGCCTGGATAAGATATGACGGACAGAAAGAGGGCTGCTGCACGTCACTTGCAGTTTGCTGCTTGCTGCCTTCTGCCTGCCATGAACCATTTCTTCTCTGTGATGCCCCTCTGCCAAGCCATCCTGTCTCAGAGCCAGCTAGCTATGAACTGAACCCTCTACAAACTGTGAGCCAGTTTTTTAGCACAAGTTTCCAGCATATGTTAAATATAATAAATGTGAGTCCCCATCCCTCTTTATGTCTTGCAAATCACTGGGCAAATAGCAGATGACTAAAGTATACTTTAAACAATTTGATTCATTCATTTACTCTTTTCACTATTTCAAAAAGGATACAGAAAACCTCAGGAGTACACAACAGTCAATTATGTTTTGAAGCATATGTTCAAGCACAATTACCTTTCTTCAGAAAAATATGATATTCTCTATGTCCAGAAATACAATTCATTGTTTAATGAGTTTAGCTAAAATAAATGAGCCAAAGTTTGTTTTCTACTTAAAGCCATACAGAAGGGTACTATGTGCAACAAGTTTAGTTGGCAAGGTAAGGCACAGAAGTGGTGAACCTGGAATGACCTGGACAATTTGTAGCACATAAAGGCATTCAAAGAAAGAAAGGAAACCACTAAGAAGAATATATGCAGTGTATTATTTGTTGAAACTGTACTTCCGATTTGATTTGAAACTGTCTCATTGCTATCTGTTTATCAATAAAACTTTGAAAAAAAAACAAAGAAAGAAAAGAAAAGAAAAAAAACTGTGTGTCAAATCAAAGGTATAAACTTCAGTGAGTTTGTAGCATCTGCTTTAGTAAAACAGTCCAGAGAGCCAGTGGAGAGGTTGACTACTTCATAGGTGTTATAGGTCTCTCTAGATGCAAGACGGCACCCAGAATCTGTGGGATTTTTCATTAGTTGCTTTTTGGAGTAAGCTACTTCTTTCCAGTTGTAGCCACTGGGACCACACTATGACTGAATCTCTGCTTACTATGTGTTGTTTGAATTGTTCTCCTTTCCTTTCACATGATTTGGACCTAGTTTACTTGAGAAAGTTAGGATTTTTTTCCAGACCCCTGGAGAGACAGTTCCTCTGGTCAGAAGTTATCACACAGAGGTCCTTCAGACATGGCAGGTAGAGCCACTGCCACCTGACCAAGCCTAGACGCACAACCAAAATCCAGAAAATCTACTATTTCCACTGACTTAACTTCCTAAGTACGTGGAAGAGCTGTGGGTAGCCGATGGGCCAGTATGTTAGGGTGCCGTTCTCCCATCATTTATATGCACCTGATAACTGCGAGTTGGTTTAATTCATCGTTTCATAATGATTCATTGCACGGTTAATCTACAGACAAAGGAACCACATAGGTCTTGATACAAGGTGCTGTGAAGGAGAAAGCCTGGTTCTACCTCACCACCTCCACAGGAAGTGTGGCCCAGTCTCCCACCTGCCCATCTGACTCAGCACAGCCGGTGGTGACTCTGAAGCTGAACGTGGAATGTTGTGCTTTCCAGAGGAAGTGTTATGGAGGACAATGACCAGCACCTACTTCTTGTTTACCAGTGAGTAGACAAACCAGAAGCTCCAAGGCTGTGCCTACTTCAGATAGTGCCAAGGTTCACCAGAGTACCGGAGACCGTGGATTTCCTCCCTACTTGTGGTTTAGGTTGGCTCCACCTCCAACTCCCTCCATGCCCTGAAATGAATAATCCTTTCTGCTATTTGAAATTCTAATTGTTGGATTACCTTCGTCTTTAATGCTGTTCCCTTTTCTGAGCCTTATAATTTATATCTTCCAATGAGGGCATTCCTAAAATTACTGACATAAAGACAGTGCCCAACATAGAAATA